TTGTGCAATACGCAACCATTTCTTATGGTATTGCAGTGCTAGTTGTTTATGAAAGTATAGTCATACTAAATGGGATGAATTTGAACAGGGTTTAATTAAATCAGCGTCGCATTGCCATATTTCGCCTCAGAGTGAACGAGTTTTGAATACAAAGGCACTTGATCTCAATAAAAGTACCGAAGTCTACGTACGGTAGGTATATGGCAGGCAATCAGTTTTCACCGTCTTTTTCAGATTTTTGTCTAGATAAAATTTGAAAAAATCCGTCCGCAGAACGTAATTGAGGACCTCAGATCAAAGCGAATCAGCTCAAGTGGGCAGTATGTCATGCAGATCACAGTAGTGCTAATTTCGCTTTCTAGGACGCTATCGCAGTTTTACCGGTAAATAGATCATCTGTAAACTATGTATATTTCCAAAATTCACCAGCCTTTCTCTCGGCATTGAAGGAGATCTTGCGTATGATTTTTTTCGGGGATTGGTGGACACAGCCTCGTTAATAAATGCTTACTAAGGTATGTGCAATGGACGCTGCGATGTAATCTGGCGAAAGCACGTGCACAAAAATATGTTCACTATACGCAGCTAAATCACGTAACTGCTAAGTAAACATGCGTCACAGGTGATATCAGCTATTATTCTTAACAAAAATGACCCAGAAAAACCTGAGGCGATCTGGATAAATTGCATATCGTCGTGCGCCTTGGCAAAAATTTCAAATATGCCTTCCATAGCTATTAAACGAACTTCTGAGAGTTTATGGGCGTTTGAAAGTGTGAATTCATTGGAGTTCAACACATTGACGACAACGTGCGTGACACATGTTGGGTCATGCAATGACTGCCACGTGGGACAATGTGACCCACATGGCGGGTTATGGCTCAAATCTTGTCAAAATGATTCAATCTTGAGGTACATTTGTTTTAAAAGTTCTCTTACGCTCTGATTCTAGTAATTACTTCGGCATTTCTTTTCTGCTTCTTAGAATCACCGTAGTTTCACTGTAGATGACGACCTGCTTAATTTTAACTGAAAATTCTCAACTTTGTCGTGGAAGCCATTGTCCCATTAGGCAGACAACTGAAATTGCGCGTTGTCGTCAACATGTTGACTCCTGCATATCCCGCTCTAAAGACCAGCTCAAGTGAGCGCAATCTTCTTGATGTTCAATGTACTGGCTACAAGGAACTAAACTTTCATTAGAGCATAAGTGTCTCTGAACCGCTAAGTGTTTGTATGGCATTGACTGTTTGCGATATCTAAACAATCAAACGCCCAGCATCTATCAGAGAGCAGTTTAGCAAATTTAGAAGATAGATGTGGGAGCAACCTATCAAAACGCATTTAATGATACTATTTCATTCCAGGTCGTCAGTGCTACTTGAGATTTTTTTCCTGAATAGAATGGGTACTTGGAAGCAACCGTAAGCAACTTTTCAAGCGCAACCAAATTGACCTTACATTGCAGATATCTGCGCAACTGTCTTAGGGAGCCTCCAGACCGCGCCGGGACCGCGCCGGTTGTCGCTTTTGCAGCCAGTAGCTGCTTTCGCGCTGGTTGCCGCTATTGCAGCTGGAGCGCACCGTGTCGCATTTTGTCCTTGGAGCGTCGCGAGAGCCTATTGGCACTAAATGCTAGACTTTTCAATTCTTTTGCCAGTACTCTTTTGTTTCCCAGGTCCTCTTCTTTCAGTAAGTAATTCATGCAGGTTCTACTATGCTGGAGTAATCGACTCATTGTCGCATATTCAATCCACCTCCTGCTGTAGAGAATTTGAGTTCTGCAGCTAAATCTCTCCTACGGCATGATGAAATGGCTTCAAAAACAAAGAAAGTACCTTCGCAACTTGCTCATCCAGCATAGTAAACCAGTTTCAAAACGAGAAAGACGTCGAAAAGGCCTTGCATTGCAATAGCTCTACAGCGGGATCTGGACTGAAAGGGTTTCACTCGACAATGAATCGATTTTTCCAGCATCGTAGACGACCGAAAAAACGGAATCCAGATATCAAATGAACCATATCTGCAACACATTACTACAGCAAAGAAGAGAACTTTGGAAACAAAAAAGTGATGACAAAGAAATCGAAAAGCCTAGCACCTAGTGCCAATAGGCTCTCGTTACGCTCCAAGGACAAAATCTGACACAGTGCGCTTCGGCAGCAATAGCGGCAACCGGCGCGAAAGCAGCTACCGGCTGCAAAAGCGACAACCGGCGCGGTCCCGGCGCGGTCTGGAGGCTCCCTTAGGCAGCAAATGTGTACTTGTTGCGAACAGGCATCAGCTTAATACTCTGCGTAAATTTTAGAACAAATCCAAGCAAAGTGACTTTCTACGGCACTTCCTATGTGTACAATATGCCAATAACAGCAAACCAATATAAAGTTGTTATCAGTAATCCACATAAGCAATTATGTGAAGAAAGATGTTAGAAACTGACCAGTATTTAATATCTACCATACCCCGACGGAATGTAATACGTCTATAAAATAAAAATGCGCCTCGCCGAGCTGAGTTCATGAGTGCCCTTGAGACCGTTCGGCCATTTTGAACCGAGACAGATGATGCGGCGCGGATCTGGGTAAACACCGGAGTTCGGCGGAGTTTACCGCTCGCCGAAGTCCGGTGCACTCCGGCGCAACTCGTCGGACTTCAACGCAGCGCGGCGATTTTTTTACGATTTATGTCAAGTATTGTACATTTTATCGTACCAGATTTTCCATGAGTTTAAAACGAATTAGTATCATGCTGCAACGTTTTTTCTCTTTTTCGTTGGTGAAGCTTAATTGCAGGGTGCATGCAAAAAAGTGTTGAAAACGCTTCGCTAGCTTAGTTTCTAGTTTAAAGTTTTGAAACTCTATTGAGGCGAAGTTTCACCAATGAATTGCATTTGCAGAGAAAGTTTTTTCTCCAGTAGTAGTATCATGTGCACTTGCATTTGAACATGACGATTAGGAACGGAAAACTGCATAGTGCGTTTTTGTAAAATATTCTATTCAAAATCATCTCTGAGCATCACTTCTTGAAACACACAGGTGCAGTGAAAGCATTGATCAGCTAGCAGAATGAAGGCCATTAAAGGATTGGATTCGCCATTTGGTAGCGAAACAATGCTTCATAACATCGTCTACCGTTGGAGAGCGCGCGTATGACAAATTGAGAACCGAACCATTTATCTGCCAAAATAGTGTCATTCTAATAAAAGGTTTTGGTATTTCAGTCCACCAACACAGAAGAATTGACTGTAGCGTTGAAGGCAGCACTTGACAATGGTTATCGCTTGATTGGTAAGACATTGCATTCAATCCCTTCCATATAGGTGAGTGTAAATTGGTTACCAAACCTCCTGTCCAAAGATTCTCGAGACCACACTATCAGAGCGAAAATGTGGATGCTTGTTATATTCTTTAAGGCTCAGATCATCATGCTGTTACCAATGATGTTACATGTTACCAGCTCTGTAATTACTACGTTGTTACACTGTTGAAGGCAGCAGCTCAGCAGATTTGAATGGACTTTTTGAAACTGAGCAGGCAACAGCTCAACAAAATATTGCCCAAGTCCCTTTTATTAGGACCTCGCCTACGCCATACTGCACTCAGAGAGGTGCGCAAAAGGAGACTCTGCACGCCTGGACAACTTGCCGTCTTGCGCTTCGCATCTTTACACGTCTTGCTAAGCGTCCTCTTCCTTCTTGACTGACTGAACCTGCCAAGCTATTGCAGAGATGCGGTTTGTTATCTTGCTTGGGTTTTTGATAAACGAGGATTTAAAGTTTTTATGGGGAATCTAAGCCTGAACAATTATTGCGAAACTTCGTTTGGAGCATATTGTGTATTTATTAAATGACAATAGAAACATCAATTTGTACCAAATTAGCAAGAAAGAAGAAAAAAGCCCTCTACTAGCTCAACGACTAAAATATTCATGCTATGATTTCTGCGAAGAACGAATTTCTGTCTTTACCTGCAACAGCGAATCGTACCCAGAAAAGAAAAACGACTACAAGCCTCACCTCCCTCTAGCAACTTTGATCTTTCGTTCAGTTTCCAGTTACAGCGCATTATCTAGCAGAGTCTATTATTCTAGACCTAATGAGGGGATAGAAGCAAAGCATGAAGAGATTTGCTCTGGTTTCTCGACTGTCAGAATTTTGAGCGCTCAAATCGTCTAAGCCAAAATAAATCCAAAACTTACGTAAACTCTTCGATATTTATGCACTGAGACCAACCAACCCGATTCGCTGGTTGGCTGAGAGGCTATCAAATCCGAGTAATACGACACATAAGTTTCCCCAACTTCTAGTTGGGATTAATATTGCGTTTAAATAGTCCAAATTCGATTTTATGTAACTAGCTAGGTCCTTTAAGTTGAGCCAGATTGAGCGGCGCACACGGATTACGCGACGTACGCAGCGTAGCCTTATATTTTTGAGCACGTGTGCGTACGCTGCGTACGCCGCGCAATCTGGTCCAACTCTTTAAGCACTCCGCTTGTTCACTTTAACATCATTTCAAATTTCTCGCGTTTTGAAAGAGAAAAAGAACGACTGTGTTGGTTCGGTTTCCTTGATGTTGCAAACAAAATTCTAGCACTCCGAATAGTTATCAGCGCTCTGCCTATCCATTTGCTGCAAAAGACAAGCCAAGCAAAGCCAAAACGCTTATTATGCAACAGGCGCTATTGCATACAATGAGGTTGTCTTTCGCAAACGATTGGACCTGTGTCGAAGCATAAGGCCGCGAAACGCCCGATAATGATGAAAAGGAAGCCTGACCTCTGGGTGGAGTTACCTTTGAACAGCAAGAATGCTTGATTAGACGTTCAACCAACTGCATAACAAAAGTAGAGATTTACCATATCTAAATTGCATCTTTTTTTTTCTGTGGAAGAGGCTTCGAAGTTTTTGTGGTTTTGAGTTGAGATGATTAAAGTTTATAAGGTGACTGAAGATATGTTCTTTTAATAATAAGCGACGGAATCTATGCTCTATTTCAGATACTGCATATCATTATGGGAATGAGGCAGTCATTGGGAAAGTTCTCAAAGAATATTTTTCGTCGGGGAAACTCAAAAGAGAAGATGTATTTATTACAACGAAGGTGAGTTATCGCAAAGCGCGGGGTAAAACAAAGAACATCCATGAAATTTGCAAAATTGCGACCCATTCTTGTCCGAGAATGTTAAAAGAGGAAAAACGATTATATGGAGGCAACAGTTTGCCTTTTCAAGAATTGCTGTTATTAATCGTGAATTGAAATAGTACCCTATATAACAATAACTGGTGGATTTTGTCGTTTAAGAAACAGTCGAATAACTCTGTTCTTTTCAGCTCCCCTACTTCGCGCATGCTCCCGAGGATGTGCCGAAAGTTGTTGAGATGCAGTTAGAAGCTCTACAAGTTGACTACATTGATCTTTATTTAATTCATGGTCCTGTGCCTTTCAAGGTAATTAGAAAGATTATGTAAAGCCCTGCGAATTATCAAAGGCACCGTCCACTTAGATTCTCGGGATTGTATCTCCCCCTCCCCCCTACCCTACCTCGCTAGTTTTTAGTCTCGTCTGAAGGTGCATTCTGAAGCGATTTTCTCGTTTCAGAATGCACCTTTTTTGATCTGATTCAAATTATTGCGGTAGAACGAGGAGCCGTGTTTTACACTCAATTCAGATTCAGATAAGTTTCAAAAATTTCGTACTAGTTTACTTCTTTCATACATGACCGGATATGTAGATAGAATTGGGTTTGAAGTGATTTTGCCAAAAAAACAGGTCCTCTCTACTCAAGGAGGAATCGATCATGAGACAATTTAGTGGGGAAAATTGTGCTTTTACATTCTGAGAGAGAAATATCCGCGCAGTCAAAAAGCGTTACTCCTTTTTACACTCATTACATTTGTTTTTGTTTGCCTTTCTTTTCCCGCTTTCCCTCCCCTCTTTCGTTCCTCCCTCCAATTGTCCTTTTGGAAATAATTTGTCTTACACAACTATTGTCGTTTCCTATTTAGAGGGAAAAAGACAAATTCGAATTGGCATTTGAAAATGGTATGCAAGTACCTGATCCGATTGGTCACCTTGACACTTGGCGAGCCATGGAGAAGCTTCATGATGAAGGAAAATTGAAAGTAAGCGGAATAAATTTAGCATTATGACATTACAATCAACTCCATTGCAGGCTTTGGGTTTGTCCAATTTCAATGTTAAGCAGGTGCAGAACGTCTACGACCATGCACGTATCAAGCCTGCAAATCTGCAGGTCCGTTCATTCTCTGAGTAGAAGTACGAAGCGCTTTGCTTATTTTAAATTAACTAGTCCGTGAATAAGTTCTAACGTGTTGTGTTTGATTTATTATTGTAATTTTCAAAAGATTATGTTCAAGCACGTGAAACAACTCAGCTGTGAGCTCACTGTCCTTTCATGAATTCTAACAGTAATTTACCAAAACGCATTAGGCATGGTTCAAACTTATGTAAAGCGTGTTCGTGGCTGTTCAGAGAGCGAGATATATTGCTTTGCTCTTCTTATCACATTTGTTCTCGATGATCAAGAAAATCCGGGCAGCTATAAGACGTTTTCTCCGTTTACAAGCCATCAACGGAAATTGAAGTATTCCATGTAAGAAAGTTTTTCGATACCAAAAGCAAACCTTGCCTACGGATTATCTTTGCAAAAGCAAATGCTTTGTAAATGCGGTGCTACGCAATACCCTTTCAGTCTTGTGTTTAGAGAGCCCCTTTTCTCGCGTTGGCTGACGGAATTTGATGGAAAGTGTTTCACTGTCATTTGAAACAGAACCCCAAAAAAGAAGTACGTTAACGGTGATATAAATTGATGCCAGCATGCTCTAGAGCCTCAGAAATTTTTTGAAGCCAATATTATGTAGTAGAGGAATTGCACCTTCATTTGTACCATCGATGATATACCTCACTTTTGAGATCGATTGTCTCTAATCCTTCAACTTTACACTTCATAATAAGAGATATTTAAAGCTCAAGTGTCCCGTTGAATATTCTGAATGGACAGAAATTCTTTGTTTAACAATCTTCGTTAATGTGAACCATTCATTAAGAAAGCTTGATCTGCACTAGCGATGACGAAATGCGAAAGAAAACTTTGTTACAAACTAGGAACTTCTCGAAGCAGGTGGTTAAAAAAACAAAGGTGCTTAAACCCTGAATTATCTAAACCGTGCGCCGCGGAACGGGAATGATAATTTCTTATAATTATAACACTCAATATTTTATTGTAGCTATATTATGGTGAAACTGTTGTTTGCTCATACAAAAAGAACTTGTATTCAATTTGGTTTTTTCGAAGCGAAAGCTATAAACACTTTAGATTGAATTACATATTTATTGGCCCCAGACAGAACTAATCCAACTATGCAAAATACTCAATATATCCATCACAGCATATGCACCAATAGGATCGCCAGGTAGAAAGGTAATGCTTTAAATAAGTAATTATCGTTTATTAACTGCCACCTTGCAGGGATTCAATCCTAAAATGAATTGGCCAGATGGAGATCCACTAACTGAACCTGTTGTGAAGGAACTCGCTAAGCTAAGTATAAGAAAACTGCTGCCCAAATACTGCTGCGCTTCGTGGTACAACAAGATATCATAGCCATTCCTAAAACTGTTAAACCGCAACGGTATGTCTGAAGCAAGGCTAAAACTTATGAAAAAATCTTAGTAGTGTTGCAGAAGGGCAAGTTTGGGAAAAGAAACAGATATGCTAAAAACGGCTTAATTTTTATAATATATATTCTTTGTCTTTTATAGATGCTCATCATGATTTATATATTCATAGGTACTTCAGGCATTTCAAAGTATGTTAAAAACCGAAATAAAATTATGAAATAAAACTTGCGTTTTGTAACTCCACATAGAACCATTTGGCTCAGTTGGTTTTTTATTACTAAAAAAAGTTCCCAACAAAAATGAGCTTGATTCGCATTTTACTGGAGCTTTTAGTATTTTGCACGGACCTCGAAAGTCACAACACGATTGTCTTTATAAGCCATTGGTGCAATGTTAATTAACAAATATGCTCAAAATATATATCCGTATGGACGAACCGTTTGCGAATTCTCACAACTGCTACATGTATGCATGCATGCACTTATGCGCAAGATACAAAAATGAAAGTGGGCGGGACAGCTCCAACCACTTTCGTCAAGCCCCGCCCACTTTACAAAAATTTTGGAGTTTGCACAAAATATACGAATTCGTACAAACTCCAGGAGTTTTGAAAATTGGGCGGGGCTTGCCACTAAGGGTGGAGACTTTATAACGGAGGGCGGGGCTAAAATTAAGGTTATTTGAGATTCCCCAGTCATCTACGAGCTTTTCTATGCAGTTTGAGAACGAAAAAAGTTTTATGTAGGGGCAACGGAGCAAGCGGAGTTTAACATAAAGGGGGCGGGGCTAACATGAAATACTTCTGAGCCTAGATCGAATATGTCAACACAAATTGGAACCATTGTGCACAATAGAACTGATATTTAGCATGTCGCGCACATCGCGTGACATCAGGAACAGGGACATACTACCTGTCGCAAACCAATGCGAGACACTGTCGTCGTTTCGAATGATAACGAAGGGTAGGGGTAAGTGTTTAATGCAAATAGCTCAGCCAGGACGCCCTAGATAGTGCCTACGAATTGATCTCTATCAAGCCAAGGTAAAAATGCTATTTCCACTTAATGACAGAGTTCGCACTACAGCAGCTTTTAACGATATTCGTCCCTCTCAAGGTTTCATAAGCTTTAATGCATAGCAACAGTACGCGGTTTTTCGATGCTTGTGAAGGCTTTGCAATAGCTTTTGAGAATATGTTAGGGTTCCTTCATACTACCTATCGACAAGCTGCCGCAGGACGCAGCAGCCTACCGCAGCGCGCCGCGTCCCACGGCGTGCGCCGCTGCAGTCGCAGAGAAAATACGCTCACGGCTGCACAGTGAAGGAAACATGAAGAAGTGAAAGGAACAATGAAAATGCGGTGACATCGGCACATTTCGCAACTGTAGGTTAGTACTTTAAAGGAACTCTTCCAACGAGTTATGGATTTGTTATAGAGAACCAGATGATTTGCAGTCAGCCTTAATGGAAACTGTGCAAAATCAAAAATCGAGAGAACACACAATTCAACCTGAATGAAGAGTCGTTCGATTAACATTCGATCAACGATGGGAGAGAAAGAGTTGCATGCTGTGAAAGAACACTTTCGGAGAACACGAACGTGCAGCAAATATAGAGATACATCCATAACCGGCGAAGCTGTGCTGCCGTGAGCGTATTTTTCCTGCGACTGCAGCGGCGTGCACCGCAACACGCCGCGATTACAGTTTTCTATGCTCGAATACAACTGAATTACATTTGTGTAATGCACCCCGAAAACAGATGGCGCGGTGGTATGAGGCGCTAAGACTGGTAGGTTCAGACAACAATTTATCTTTGATTCAACTGGTTGAGGTCCGTCAGGGCAGGACGCTCGCGCCCGCGACGCACCTGCGTCTCTCGCGCGCCAGTGCTCTCTGATCACTACCTAGCCTTAATTAGGTCACGAAGCCGCGCCTTTGCCGAACCTCAGCCAGTTGAATCAATTGTACGATTTCCGCTCCTTGGCTAATTCCTCCAATTTGAAAAGATATATCTATGCAAAGGTACTTGTTTCATTTGGAGTAGCCCGGAGAGGGCTTGGTATCGCGCGCTCGCCTTTGGGTTCACCTCTTCCGCGAGCCTCTTCCCTCTCATTATTTCAAGTTTGTCGGATGAAGCTCAACCTTGAATCCCTCAAAACGTCAGGATCGACAATTAGAAAATAATCGACAAAAAACTTTCTTAAATGCGGCGCAGGCAAGGTGCAGGCGAGGGAAACGAACTCAGCCGCTTAATTCGGACTTACTCCAAATGAGACTAAGGGTAAGAAGTCTGAAATAACCGGCTGATGTATTCTGATTCATTAATAATGTAGCTTAAAAGGACCGTCCACTCAAAATGGGAAGTTTTGAGCTTTTGGCAGCATATGATGGTATGGCCCCCGACCAAGCCAATGCCAAGTCGCGGCGCAAAATGTCGTTTTGGAAGCGAGAAAATCGCTTCAAAATAACGAAGTTGCACGAACCCCATCCATGCATGCCCGCCCATTGGTGCGCCCATTCATTCACCGTTCCGGAAAACCTGTGGGTTTTCCGGGACGGGGATTGTTAGGGTTTTCGGGGTTTCTCGACTTCATATTCGGAATCGGGGACATGAGACACTGGAAGTCGAGAATCTGGGTGGACGGTGCCTTTAACGAACATTAGTAGTCTTTCAACCTCGAAGTAGAGTGTATTTTATATACAGTGACGTATAAAGGAAAACATGGTTGCGCAAATTGATACTGGTGTCGATGATATATATCTTCGTAATTATAAAAACACTAACTTTGTGCCACTCCTCCCCTTCCAATTCTACGAGGGTTAAAAGCCTTTCATAATGATTTTTTAGATCCCTTTTCGGGAAAATCGTCAAAGATTCCGCAACCTTCACTGATGATGAATCATTTCAGCGTTAAGGAAAACATGGACATTTTTGACTTTAGTCTTACTGATGAAGAAATGAAAGAACTTTTCTCGGTCAAAACTAGAGTGAGGCTACATACTTGGGAATTGTAAGTAATTTGATTGTCCATATCTAGAACACATGAAAACAATTTCAGTGCTATCGGTCATCCATTCTACCCCTTTGATGATGTTCAGCAAACGACACCCTTTTGTTTGAAACCCTGAGTGCACATTCTCATATGTTATGTTTGTTGTTCTCACCTCTCTGTTGTTGGATTTTAACTTGGCAGTGTCCACGGGAAAGAATTTAGTTACAAAGGGAAATGCAGTTGTAAACAAAGTTGTTCCGTGTTGATTCTTATGTGTAAGGTATCATTTGATACTTTTTCAAAACTATTATTCCTCTCATCGCTTCAAACGCTCTGTACAAGATTGAATTCATATTGATTATCAGTACTGGTCCAAACATTGTATTCTTATATTCATACAACTCCCATATTATACACTTCCCAGTAAGTCAGATAAAAATTTCCTCAGACTCTGAAAAGTTAACATTGTATCTTTAAAGAAATCCAGTTCACGCAACACGGCCGCGATCTAAAGATTGGGCCAGACTACAGTGCGTACGCTGTGCACGCGACATACGCAGCGTAAGCCCCATATTTTTATGCACGTGTGCATGAATCCCGACACAAGCGATAAAACAAGGGGTGGTCAGGCCCCACGAAGAAGGGATGTCAAGCTGAAAGTCATTTTGGAAAAAAAGCAAAAGGTATATCGTTTTGCGAGCTCCGGGAGGAGACCGCCGATGCTCTCTGCTTATCTTGACATGTTATGTGACTCAACAGACGCACAGCAATGTTGGCGCGGTTCATAACGCACCGTCGCTAATCGCGCAACGTCGATGCGTTCGGAACAGACCGCGCATGACCGATGCGTTTGGAACAGCATACACACCAGTTTTGCATGCGTAACAATATGGTGCGTGAATGAACGAATAGAGGCTTGGGGTCCTTATGACTGACGAGTGAACGTTATGAAATAAAACTTGGTATCTACTTGCTCACGGGTTGCAGGAGTGTTTTGCCAAGATTTGTGAGAAAATCATTTGAATGAAGATTGCAGCAAGGTTTCTTCTGAATGGAAGAATGACTAAGCTACAAACTGAGCTGTTGATTTGGTGACCTTGGCAGAAAGCGCGCTTCTTGACCGCCTCCCGGGGTTATCCTACGCAGCAATCGCGCCAAGTACGAAACGTAACACTTATCCTCAAGTGTTTCAAATCTTTTTCGTGAATATGTGGAAGCGTTTGAAAAAGTTTTCAGAGCTATTCGGATACTTCGGTTTTCCAGCACGCCGCCAAAATCATCATCACGTAAGCGTAAACAAAAACATGTAAATTGCTGCAGTGAACCGTTTAGCAGATATGAAACTCTCTTTTATGATCAGCGCTCCAGGGCCTGTTGACAGACATATAAAAAGCCTTGGTCTAACAGTGAAAACACGTACATAAACATCAGAAACCTACTTAATCATTTGGTATAATCCCCAAAAGCTTACTATACTTGATAAGACGGTCCTGGTACGCCATTATCCCTTTCCATAAAAAACTATACTTCAAAGTTGAAGAATCATCTCATAGCGGTTTTGACTTCTTCTAAAGAGAAAAAAGTCGATGGGGGCAGATGTGGAAGATACGGGGGTAGTTGATCAATCTGTTGACCAGTTTTTGGAATTTTGTCATTGTTACGCAGGACTTGTGTGCAGGCGCGTTGTTTTCATGAAAAAGAACTTTCTTCTTGAGAGTGCAAGTTTTTTGGGAAGGCTACTCGTATGATGACGATCCAGTAGTCCAGCAGAGTATCGTCATTGACTTTTCGCCTGTCTCACTAGTCGATCATCAGGATTCAACTCAAATCCCAAAAAACGGTAACTAAAAGCTTTCGAGTCGGAGAGTTCCTTTCTGAATTTGGTGGCCTAATCACCTCTGGCAGTCCAACTTTGTGACGCCTTTTGGACTCTGAAACATAGTGGTGGACCCATTTTTTGTATACTGTCACGAACCGCCTCCGAAAATTCTTAGGATTTTTCTGGATCTTGGTCAAAAATCTTCAAAGGACTGCACGCGAATCAGCTTTTCTTCCAGAGTAGCGCGCGAGGCACCCAAGATGCCTGGAGCTTTTCCATCTGTAAATCTTCATGAATGATACGGTGTGCCGCTTCACATCATTCTGCAAAAACTTGCCTACATCCCTGATACCAAGCTGAGATTGTCTATAATCAGTTTGTGCACTTCGCTTATATTCTCATTGCTTGCCGTTTTCGGGGACTAGAGCTTGGCAAAACGTTTATGCTGTCCGCTTCAATTTTTTGATTCGATTTTTATAAAGGAGCTGTTTACGCATACGCTGTCTCAGCTTTCACTTCAGTAGCGCTGTCTCTTCATATGAAGGTGGCTGGTGACCGCACGAAACTTCTTAGCATCCAAAATAAGTCAATCATCTTTTCCGACTTATATAAAATCAGCGAAAAGCAGGAACAAACAAATTAATTCTTGGTGTTTTCGGTTTTTTAGGCTGAAAGAGTACATGAAAATTCTGAAATTTTACATCCGAAGACTTTAGGCCAGGAACTTTGCACATATTCTTTACATCTTGTTTGAAAACAATGCTTGAGTTAAAAAGCATCCCTTGTGAACTTCGAAGCAGGAGAGAATCGTGTACTGGAGGGGGGGCATAAACTTGGGCCTTTGACACAGGGCCCTACACGAGACGGTTTCTAAGGATCCTAAAAACAAAGTTTACCCTGACTTTCGGAAGTTTTACGAAGTCCCCCTTGACCTACCTATTTAGGAGAAGATGAAAACAAGGAAAATTTATTAGTCTGAAAAACGTGAGATAGGATCGAAAATCCAAATTAGAGCTGAATACTACGCATAAGAGTTTGGCATTGGAGTGCGTCATTCAACAATGCAATCTATGGAGAAATTAAGCCAAAAAACAAAGGAGAGGCAATGATACGAAAACTTCATGCTCAGGGATAAATTTTTAACCGGACAATCCGTCCATGATAGAAAAATCCGAAATTTAGGTGAAGTTACAGAAATATATGCTCCAGACAATCTCAGATCGTCTGGTGGCCGTCTGGAGACGGACTAAATATGGAAAAGGTAGTACTTCACATAAGTTTTCAAATATTTTTGCATAGTTCTTTTGCAATTGATTTTTTATGTATACAGTTCAATTTTGATGTCATATGAATCTGTGTGCGCTCTAAACGAGCAATTTGTTTATTTTAGCCTTGCTTTCAAATCGCGCGCATTTTTCGCCATACACGATAAGGCATGTCAATCGTGTGATAAACTGTCCGAAAAGCTTGTGTTCGACTAAATGGCGCTTATTCTTGGTGCTCGGCCCCGACTCGTCAAAAAACGATATCTACTTTGCTATTGGCTCCAAAAACGAAGTCCAGCCTGCTTCCAGAGGATCTGTGCCCAGCCCTGCCCTGACAGCGCCGGACCGAGATGTTTTGAAGTCATGAGTTGACAATAACAATGATTAGCGATCTGCAGACTGCACCTTGGGCCCCAGTCCAGAGGCCTCTCGCATCTAGCAGAGGCATACCAGGTCTGTAATGAGCCCCCATCGGGTCGTGACGACTCGCTCGGAGCACGGCAAATGCCCGGAAAATGCCTTTTTGCTGCCGCCCCATAATATGGGATAGGTGACGTGACCGAGGCATATGCCGCGGCGTAACGCCGGCACAACAATCCAGCATCAGCGTGCCCGTCATGCAGACAGTCGGGAAATAGTGGGTCTTGAATGGAGACGCAGAGAGTTCGTGATGCCGGCACATGACTAACGGTCGAGTACGTCCGGGCTTGTGGTGCCGCCCGCTGTCCGTTGATACACGCAAAGGAAAGTGTACGCCAAAGACAATCACTACAGATAGCTGATGGCAGACAATTGCGGAACGACGGCCACTCTTTTCCTATTGTTATTTCTTCTGTTATTTGCTCTGGAAACCAGATAAGGTGAGTTGATCATTATCAACAAACATCCACAGATCTTCCCAAGCCAAATTTTCTGAATTTAATCGGTTTCTAGCTTTGGTTAATTTGCTCTTACTGTTTTTCGGCATAATAAAAATTCTTGGCATTTATGGTGTTTTTTAAAATTTTTGTCTATTTTTTCCTGTTTATTGGCTGCGCATCACTTGCTTTTCTTTTATATGAAAGGAAACCATTTAATGCAGTAGCTGATGAATTAGCACACATCTGAGCAGATTGAATTAGTGAGAGTAATATTTTTGATACACTTTTAGTATTTTGTTGGCACTTATTTTTCATCAAAAACTCCATGATATTTTATGTCCGAAATATAAACATTGCAAAAATGTGTCGCCTCTCATCGCTTTGCAAAAGGGATCGCTCTACTTGCGTCTTGTACCCTTTTCGTCTCACACAGGGCCAAGCAACTTTGGCACTGCGCTGTATGCGCTATATGCCTGAGCATCTATTATCGAATATCCCTTATAAGTATAAGATTGCATCACAAAGCGTGATAATTGTATCAAAGGGCTTTCTTTTGCTTAGCACGAAAAGGGTTACTAATTTGAATGCATTGGCTTGAGGCCTATATCTCCACCGTTGCACCTTTCTTTTGCTAAGACTTTTAACAGTAACATCGTCTATAGCGCAGTGACTGCTTGCACTGCTCATGTCACCCAGTGCGAGTTCGGATTCGGGCGGTCGAACTTTTTTGAGGCGGGCGGCCAAAGCACCTTTGTGCCCCAGTTGTGACTCGTTTTAGACGGTCATAACCGGGTCTTCTTTGAGTTGTGACGACTTTCGGGGATTAGCTGGCCCAGATACGCGCCCTTTGATCATGGAAAGGGGATTTTCAATAGATAAAGCAAAGTTCTGTTTTGAAAGTTCGCCAAATAAGCTGAAAACTCGGATTTAAGGGTTTTTGAGTACGCTTCAAATATAGGAATTACTAGGCTATTATCTAAGTTTTGCCGAGTCCGTAATTTTTCCCTTTTTGATATTGGCGCGCTCAAATCTTGATATTGTATAGTTTACCTTGTAAGCTATAAACTGACATAAACCCCTCGCTTTTTGATGAGAAAATTTAAAGAACTTGAAAGTTGTTCAAAATCTGATGACATTCGAGGATTCAGTGAATTTTAAGTAAAAATAAAGCCGTTCTTAATTCAGATTATGCAAAACTATCCGAAAGTGTGCATAAATTGTTGACAGAGGTTGACTCATCTGCGCAGTAAAATAGAAATGGAATTCAAATATCCAAGTACGACCGTCGCTCAATCTCGGCATTTGGAAGTTGCTTTGAGAACTGCTTGAGCTTCAAGGAATTCAAATACAACTGAAGATTTGGCGCCCTCACAGAGTTGAACGAGCCGCTGTACGCAAAGCTGCTTGGGGAGGAGCGTCAATCACTAAGGAGTGGAACTCTCAAAATTCGCCAAAACTGGCAGGATGGGGTTATTTGTTTTGTCAAACGCAAATATCATACTCATTTATCAAATTATTGCCTCCTTTCTTAATTATCGTGACACCCCATACCGTAAACCTGCTGTAACCTTACAAAAAATCTCATACCATGCAAAACCAATACATTTTTCGTAATTAGCATGTCAGATGACCCACCTACAGTCGTTTTCAATACGTATTGGTCTTTTCTACCGTATGCCTACCAGCCTCAGCATGACGTGGATTAGTGAGGCATCGCTTCGGGCTTGCGCCACGTGCTTTTCTCGCCAGGCCACGCCAAACGAGCGTCCTCTACGTGGCGCGGGCCCAAAGCGAGGCTGCGCCTCACTAATCCAAGTCATGTTCAGGCTGGAAGGCATACCGTAGCAAGGACCAATGCGTGTTGAAAACGACGGTACGCAAAGTTCAGCCAAACATTAATGATCTATAATTTTTTTCTTCATACCCTTGCCACGGCAGAATTTTGCAGAACTGTGGCTGCGCTTGTAGCTTACGTGACGACCAAATGATGGAAATAGTCCATCATGAGCAAAGAGAGAGAGAAGTTATAAAAGTAGTTGCAAAACTTAGTTGACAACCTAATATATCTGCCTCAGAGCCCACCAGGGATCGCTTGTTGGTTATGAAAGAAGATTTCAAAAAAATGCAATCAAGAATCTAATAGTAAAAGTTCACCTAACAAACTGGATTCAAAGATTTTCAGAATCGCGGTTTCAAAATATGTGGAACATTTTTGCAAAAATATGTAAAAGTTTCAAGAAAAAAAATTTTTTTTGTAAAATTTGTATTAGTGGCTTGCGCCTCACGTTAAAATCAATAAGATTTTGAAAATGTCAAAAATCACACAAACAGATTTTTTCACCTCTTATACAAAACAACATGTTCGAACAAAGGTGACATTATTGGGTCAAACAGCCTCGGCAATCCACAGTATATATCAATGGACTCGTCTGATTCTTTAATCGATTAAGACCCTACATTACTCGATTTTTTCAACAGAGATTTGAGATTTTTCATTTTGATTTTTCAGTTCAAAATGTTCAGCCGTGAAAAAGTTCAAAAGGTTCCAGTAGCACGAATAAAGCAGCTGAAACGAAAACTTGAAACAAAGACTTGAAAACTTTGAAACGTCCACGATACTTCTTTTTCAGATAACACGATTTTTCTTCAAGCCCAAACGTTCTATCCTTTCTGGAAAGGAAAAGCTGTTTGAATTTAACTGTCAGTTGGAGTCGAAATCTTCTTCTTTTGCTTTCAGCTTTTTCTTCGGATAACAACAGTTTCATTTTATTCGTTTGATACCTGTTCAAGTTTTTTTTTAGATTTCATACCGAAAGCCTTCCCTAAATCTTGAAAAATACTCAATAATTCTACCTTGATCTAGACCCAACGAATATAGGCCTTGATTAGCAACATTACGCCCAGTAAAGTAGTTGTTCCTAATTTCGCTCCGATGAACGGACATCCATGGCTACTGCCTTTAGTGTCAGTGCGATCAGTGCTACACTTTCAAAGAGATGCTTTTCTTCCTATCTATTTGCCATTCATTCGAAAACTGAAATCAGAAATTTCAACATTAATTTTCAAAATTACTACCCGGTGACTTTGACACTTACATACTTTCTTCGACGATCTCCAGTTCCCGATGATTATCCAAAAAATACTGAAGTTGTATTAGCTGACACGATGGACTTTTTCGATTCACTGTGACTACAAAATTAAACTACTCACCTCTTCTTTTCCTAATTTCCTCTGCTTGTTTGCAAAATTTTGAGTATATCTGTGTAAAATTCATGCAAATTGGAATAAACACAATCACATGAAACATGGAACTCACCTTCTATTCAATTAGATGAAATCTGACACAAAAATGGTGAGAAAAACTGAAAAAAAACTCACCAAGGCGTGCCGGCTTGAAAATTATCAGCTGATTGCGATTATCGATCTGCGTCACGGCTAAAACCGCGCCGCCACGGACTTTCTGTAAGCGGTCGCCTAGGCCACACCCGCTATACGCAGGGAAGGCGACGATACTCAAGTTTAGCGTACCTTGAAGCAATGAGTATACAACTTACTTTGACAGCAATGAGTATGCAACCTCGCGTTTATTTGCTAAGCAAGTGCCGTATTTATCAACAAACTTTGAAAGTGGATTTTCTTGAGAGCTACCCTTCAAGCTACCCCAATTTAATCTTAAAATCACCAACTTACCTTTCTTTACCAATCTATCAGAAGTATTTTTTGTTTTCGAAAGAAAACACTTGGGATAGTCTCCCTCCGTTGACCTCCTACATTTCTCGTAAACGAGAGCACCCTTCATTGCATAAATATTCGATACATCATTTCAAAGCCATTTTCGACAGCACTCAGCTGTTTATGAGAAATCGTAAGATTCTGAGATTGACGCGATCCATGGTTTTATAGTTTAGAATGACTCCCAAGACTACCGGTAGACATGTCTTCAAATTTATTTTAGAAATGTGATGCTTCAAAAGGTTTTGTTTTTGAGCTATTCTTACTCGAGCAAACCTTACTACCACTGTTTTCGGTGTTTTTTCGTCATTCGCACCTATTACTTGGGAGCATCTATCCAAGGAAGAAATCGGTTGTTTTGTTACTAAGACGTACTGCTCGCTTCCGGTGAGCGGTTCTATGTGACCCGCATTCTTTGACGGTCCCTCGGAACCTAGGATTAACGCGAAGCTATTGCCATTATAAATATTCAGCAAATATTTCAAATGTGTTTTATTTGATCGAACACTTCCCCATTACTTCAACAGTAAAAGCGGAGGGAAATTTCTAGTAACCTTTGTTTCACAAATACAAAATTGAGCTTTACCTAGATGCAAACTCAACATTCCAGTGGAGCTTAAAAACAATAATTTGTCCAGTCTACTTATCAAGAAACTTTTTCATATTCAAATGGTTTTTGAAGGTTTTAACAAACTTGGGAACTTGAGCTAAATAATATATCATGCAATGGCAGTTAACAGTTGGTAGACTTCTGCTCTAAAGTTTGACCCATACGATCCTTCTCAATAAAAGGAGATCTAGGTAAAGGAAGAATAACGTTTTTTATTTTCTATTGCAAATCAAAAGTTGCTCCATTTTACATAAACACGTAAAGTAATTATTATTTTACAAGACGAATATGCTAAACAAAAAGTGATTGCTATCATCTTTCTAGTTGATCACATATGCACACTTGTTCGTGAGTTAAAACCATGATTGCTCGTTGTATTGGGTTGGAAAGAAAAGAATGTCGCTTTTCGGAATTCTCGCGTGGTAATAGTTTCTCAGAAACTAGTATATATCCAATCCAAAACATTCTATCTAAACTCTCAAAGGTTTTTGTAATACACAACTGCATAAATGGGAGGAGTCCAGCATTACTAGAAACGGGGTTTGCCAATTTGCCAACTTTTGTTTTCAATTTTGTGATTTATAAATACAGCAAGCGCACATATGGATATGCGTATATGTCTGTTACAAGCTATAAAAGCAGTGGATCGGCAAAATCCAACAACTCAGGTTTTTAACTCGGTAGGTTCCTTATCACCCAAGTATGAAAACAGTGCACTCCCGGTTGCACAGCATGCCTTCCCTGCCGAGAAAATTACTCTCAAACGTACACGCGCAGGTCAATCTTACACGCTTCCGGACGAGTTGGCAATTTCCTTCTCACCATTGGAGGCTGCCCGCCGCAATGCTATAACCGTTGGGTCCTGCAACGATTCAGCGTCATCAGCCTTGCTCCGCTCGTCCAGTTCCAAAGGGAAGGGCATTAGAAAACGCTCGTTTTTGCGGTTTTCAAGCTTGCAAAAGTGGATTTTCGGAGTCAGCGTATTGAACAACCCCAGGTAAGCGCAAATTTGCCTAGGTTGAGATTTGCCGAGCCACTACCTATAAGCAGGAGCAAGTGAGAGGTTTGTCGGACTTTCTTTGGGGGCGAAGATGCGATTTTTACCACCATGAGTTGCTCAAATGTTTTAGCTTTGAACTTTGCACAGAATACGAATTGAGCTAGTGTTTAGAGGCCATCTTGTAGAGTTTGATTTGCCCTATTGAATAATACTCCTCACATATCCTTTCGATTTCGTCCTGTTGCTTTGCTGTAAAAAAGTCATTATTTTTCATTATTTTCTTATGGAAACTATTCAAATTCATCATCCGGCAAATTTGGTCTACATGGATTGTATTCGAACGCCGTACTCTACTCCATAATTTATCAAATTCTCCAACGCTTTTCAGATTTTTGCGGGATTACCTCCCAAATGGAAGTTTTTTTTGCAAGAGTATATAGATCCACAGACTTGAGAATTCGTCCAATCATAATTTCTATGATTTGCTTATAATTCTTTTGAACTAAACTGCACAATAAGCATTTTACCTTTTCACACCATTCTTTCTCTTCATTGCATACGTAATTTGTCTTCATCAAAGTACACACTTCTAACATTTCTCCTCAAAGATCACTAATCGAGTATTTTGCTGACAATATTCACTCGCTTTACGGCCCTGTAGATTAATAAGTACTTCTTTACTTCTGTGCAGAGGTCGATTCTTCAGGGGCACACCATTCTTCGAAAAAGGCAGCTTGAGCATTTTTGCTATGGTCTTCAAAAGCGGCTCTTGCCTAAAAATCAAAAACAAAAATTCAAATCGTGGAAGCACTTAATGTTAACAAGCATACTTTAGCTGTAGCTATTGCTGGCAATGCTGTCGCGGCTAAAATTCAACAGTTCGTGAACGTTGCACACGTGGCAACGGCGACTCCTCTCTCAGACAATCGCAGACACTACGCCACCATCATATCACAGAAGCTCAAGCGATGAAAAATACGAGCACACAAGCAAAGGTAAGGGTAAAGAAGAGGCCCGATCGCGCTCGTGCGCTGTTTATAGCCGAAGCTGGAGGCGTAGTGGTCCGGAAGCGAACAGAGTAGCAGACGATAAAGCACCGAGATCGTGCTCACGACCGAACTGCGCGGCATCACGGTGCCCCCGGCCAAACCGGCCGATTAAGAGGAGGTTCATGTCCGGTTAAGAGGAGCGGTCGACCGCGAGCCGTGACACGCTTTCTCAAATCAATATATTCTCTGTGAGCATTGGATAATTAAAAAATGGGTGCGAAAAATTATGCGAAAACTGCATCACAAAAGTCATCTGCTAATGCAACTGAAAAACGAGATGTTTTTGGTGCGAGAAGTAACCTTCCCTCAAGCTATAACGCTCACGAATTCAAGCACATTTTTTTCATTCTGCTTCTTAGCTTGTGTAGACTTCAACGTAGCTTATCCTTTCATTCTTTTGGAGTCTTAGTCCTCCCATGTTTGAACTGCCTTATTCGGACGCCACGACTTCCAGTCTATGTGAACGATGATTGCAAAGACGTAGAACCCTCGACTTCTTTCATGGGAACTGAGAGACGAGGAAATTAGGTTCTGCAAATTCTTCTTCTTGGAGCACGTGCTCGACAATTGTTTCTTGAAAAATTTTTCCTTCATCTTGAGAAGTAGAGCTTTCCTGGGTTTCTCGATCGCGACTTGTGCATGGATTTAGGACGGGTTAAATGCAAGACTAGTAAATCAAAATCATATCACTTTATTCGTTCTCCAAATCCAACTCCTAGTCTTCCAAAACAAACACTTGCACGCTGAAATGGAACTCTGAAAAATATTGTCATCTTTCAAAAGTCAAAATGCCGGCGCCCATCCACATTCGCTCTATCAAACCTGAAAGTTTGAAGAAGCCCTTGGCTCGTATTGATGGTGGGCCCGAATATGCCTTCTCGATTCTTCCTATATGAGGTCCTCATAGACTTCCACCTTGACTTTATATCTCCTTGCTCCGATCCACTTGATCACAGTCGTGCCCTTTCTTTAGAAGTTTGTCGGCAACTCCAATAGCTCGATTTTTATTGGATGATGTGTTGATAATCTTCATCGCTGCAGTCCCAGATACAAAGATGTATTTTGACTTGAAGGACGATTGCTTCTCGGAATTGATAGCTCATCGTCTGTAAATATGATGCTTTTTGAAAACTTGACGATTTCTAACGAGCGCGCTGTAGGAGAGGGCAGTTTCACCCGCTCGGATGTGCAGATGTTGGCAGAATGCTTCAATCAGCATTGCTGAGAACGATTTGATAATGACGCAGACCGATATGAAAGAGGGATCTATAGAAAATAAGAGTGGAGCATGGAAGCTGCAAAGTGGTACACTCATCAAAGAACCTCACCACATCGACGTTGTTTATTCCAGCGACCCGCCATTTTACTAGGAAACATTTATTATTACAATTGATTGCTACCCATCAGTTGATACTAGCTCAAAGGGACCTACTTACTGTGCGATATTGCCAAGCTACAAACGAAAGAAAACATTAGGACATCACAATGTTACTGACGAAAAGCTAGGATAATTTGCAGGGACAACGAATTATAAACATACACAATGCTACTCTTCCCTCCTAGTTTGAAACCATGCTACTCCTCCCCTCCTGGATTGAAACAAGGACCTGTAGCAAATATGGACAAGTATGTCAAAAAAGTCCTCACCCACTTTGGACCCATTCAATGCCACGAAGTTCGACATCAAAGTTATAATCGGAACTCTGACAAGGTCGAGAGTTGGAGAAAAGTTGGAGAAAATTGGTGTAAACGGAGTACCTACCAAAAAATGCTAGCTTTCAATTTTTAAAGTTTTCACCAGCTTGATAAAATGTGGCAACAGCACAGAAGAAAGAAGTGTATCTAGAATCACAAACAAGGCTTCTCTCTTCGGCTTTTGTTCGATATTTTCATGTGTAATAACTGCAAGAGAAAAGCATTCTACACGATGGAGGAGATTTATCACTTGGAATGACAGAAGAACAAAAAAACAACTTCGATGAGGCAAGAGGATTGGCAATGAACATGAGAAATGACATGCGTATGATGAATTCAAACATGCAAAGTTATGAAATCTGAGTCTTTGTAAGCGCGCTCCAAGTGAGCAGCATAAAAGTCCCACAGCGCCGGCAACGCCTGCCGGCGCTATAGGCAACAATTGCCGGCAGCCTATGGCCGTTCCCTTATATGACATATGATGTTTCAAATACCGTTTGTAGTATTATCCAACGTACCACCAGTTAGATCAATTATCTTTCATCAAAGTGGACGGAAAGTAGCAGGGTATTTGGAGGATAGCTGCACTCTTTTTAAGAAAATGTACTGATTGAATGCTTGGATTCTGAAAGATGTTAGAACATATTATTGCCATTCAGTAAAAATCAATTAAGTTAATACGGAAGTTTTTGCATGATTCAAATGTGTTTCTA